AATTTTTGACATTTTTGTAAAATTTTCGCACTACGTTAAATGGAGCATGAGAATGTTTTTTGGAATTTTTTAAAATTTTCGCACTACGTTAAATGGAGTATGAGAATTTTGTTGTTTTTTTCGGTAAATTGTATCGCTTCAACAACACGTTTCTCCGTTTTATAAATAAACATCCAAAAAACACAGAGAGGTCTGCGCAAACTCGGCTATATCTACAGTTCTGATTGGACGTTGTAAATCAGACCGCACGACAAGAAATTTGATAATGACGAGTTGAGGCGCTTGTATTTGTGAGATAATAGGTTAGTGGTGAAATATAACGGTTTGATTATTCTCGTTAGTATCGTTTGGGGAGAGAAAAAAAATCTGTTTCTTTATATATAAACAAATCACTGATAATGTAAAGCTGTAGTTAAATTGACGATTTCAATAAAATTTAGTAATGTGCGCCATTAATTAAATACGGTGCGGATAAGCGTTTCGCTAACGAACGCTGCTATGCTAGCTTGCCTAAAGAAACTGGTATGAAATTTCAATTACGTTTAATTCAGTATCGATAAAAAAAAAACGGTTTGAATTTGTCGCAAAGCTACACGAGGGCCATCTGCGTTAGTCATCCCTAATTGAGCAGTGTAAGACTAGAGGGAAGGCAGCTAGTCATCACCACCCACCGCCAACTCTTGGGCTACTCTTTTACCAAGGAATAGTGGAATTGATCGTCACATTATAATGCACCCACGGCTGAAAGGGCGAACATGTTTGGTGGGACGGGGATTCGAACCCGCAACTCTCAGATTGCGAGTCGAGTGCCCTAACCACCTGGCCATGCCGGGCAAAGAACAACATCGATATACATAAACCACGCCAGTTTTAGCCAATAGTGATATAAATAGCGCCCCAACCAATACTTAATTTTTCGTATCCCAAGCGGCCTTGTATTTGGTTATGATAAATATAATGTAGTTGACGTATTTTTTTTTTTTACACATTCTTCTTTGCTGCTAATTTCATTGCTAGGTTTTGTAATTATTACATATAGGTAATTAAACTAACTTGAAGAATGAAGTGTTTGGGGTCGTGGCATTTGTATGCTACAGTTCTAAAGAATCTGTGCTTACGACTCGAATAGTATCACACTCTTGGTTGTCCAGTGCCCTGGTGAGTAGATAATGAACTGTTTTCCTTTTACGGTATCGGATTTACAAAAAATTGGTGTTTGAAAGTTTTAAATATTGGAATAGAGGGGGAAATTATAGTGAAACACGGAAATTGTTTCAATGGGGATG